TTTCAAAATTACTAAAGTAGCGTCACTAAAACCACTGTAAAAAGAGAACTAAACTTCAGATTGCCATGAAATTTACACAGGCGCCGTCTGCAGGTTGGTACTTCCTAAAAATCATATGGATTTTTTGATAGAGGCTCCATATGTCATTCTACGAACTTATTGAGGTAGGTGTTATATAGATGTATTTTACTTTCACCTATTTTATAAAACTAAAACATATTTTTTGCCAAAATTGTTAAATTTTGTGCTTTTCTTCCGAAGCGTAATGTGATAACTTATTATATATGTAATGATATAATTATAGTAATAATTATAATTATTTTTCTTAATGTAAAACGTATATTTTTTATATAATAATGTAGCTGATGTTAATTCAATGAATATAAATAATCTAAGTTCTATTTATTATAGACTCGTTTAATTTTCAACAGCAGAACAGAAGATGTTTAAGAAGAGAGAGAGAAAAAACGGTTTTATTTTTCGTTTACACGCAATCGCACATAAGCGCAGCACGCGAGGAGAGGAGCATATCAGGCAGCAGGCAGCAGCAACAGCAGAGTCTTAGGTGAAGCGGACGAGGATTGCACTTTTTTCTATCAGATTTCAATAGAACTAAAAGTCGATGTAGATAAAATTCTTCAGTGAGTTACTTAGAATTAAAAGCAATAGTTTACTTAAACGGATTCTCCCTATATGGTGTCTAATTTACACTGGGAAAAATAACTTCAGAAATTACGAATATAGACTAAATGCTCTAAAACTGTATATTTTCAATTCTTACAGTAAAAAATTACTTTGCGTCCACGCGCGTCCGAAACAATTTCTCAACCGAAGACCGTGCGCGCCTTATGCGATTCCAATTAAAATAAATCTCAATCGAAGCGCGCTTATTTATCCTTTCAATTTCTGGATTTGTTAATAAAAATAAATAAATGTATATAAATCTAGGTGTTATGATTCGTGGGTTTCGTTACGCAATTGTACTTTAATTGTGCTCGTTTTTGGAGGTGAGATCAGGAAACGAGCGTGCCTGAAAGGGTTCTCGGATAATTGGGGAAAACGATAATTGCTCGTCATGGTCGGTTATAGTTATTATCGGTAATTGCTTAATAATATTTCCGAAAATATCGTGGTCGGAGCGCGAAGCGAATGGAGGAGAATGAAAGATATGTATTTAAAAGGGGATATAAAACAGAAACACAGCTAGGCTATGCCAGTGGCGAGTTCATTAGTTTTATATAAACGGCGATAGCAGTATTAGGTATTATTTTGTCATATTGTGAACGGGGAATTGTTGAGAAACGTGAGCTATGCCGGCACATAGACACGTATGGTCTGAACGGCACTAGTAAATAACGACCAATGCAATCTTACACACAAATTGCTTTTAATCATTTCACAGTATTCGAGACTTCGCCTATTCGGTTTCAGTGTATATAGTGTATAGTGTGTATATATACCTGCTCTCAACCACCTCCTTTATTTATTTTCATTATGTCCTTTAATTCTTTTTCAACTCGAGCCGAGTGGCAGCAAGAAAGAATAGACGGATGAGAGAAAAATACTCAATGCATACTCGGATAGAGCAGAGAGCAAAGGCGAATAATCTTTGCATATTGCATTAGCGATTTTCATGAAGCATGCGGTTAACCTGAGCAACGACCCATGACCCAAACGAGAGCATCGGCAATTTCGAAAATCGACCTGAACTGGTCACTCCATTATTGCAATACACAAAATGTGTGTATGCACAAAGGAGGATGATAAACTCGGTAACAGCAATATATAGTTACGTATTTGAATAACTGTTTTGCCGACAGTTGGGTGTTTGCGTTTTCCATTTGCACCGATTCGATGGCGCGCCAACAGAATGATGGACTTCGAAATTCGGGACAACGAAAAAGGAAAGGAATGAAAATAAAAAGATGAGATGGAGAATGGTCGGATGGTGATGGAGAAGGATGATCGAAGATTGAGCCGAAGAGCAATCAAGGACTACCGGTTCCAATCATAATTGTAAAACGATTCTATTGAAAAATAACTTCACTACAATGCACGCTCCATCTCACCACAATACCAACAAGTTTGATCCATACTCAATGTAATTCGATTTATACCACTTGCATTGTCGACGCTTTGAAAACTATGCGCTTGTCTTTCATTTTTAATTATCTCAGTTCAACTTATCGGTTGAAACTATTTTCCCCTTATTAGGGTTAAAGGGTACCAATGTTTCATGTATACATAATCATACCAAAAGGGTGGTAAAAATGACACCTAAAATGGTATTGAATGAATGAATAAATTAAAAAACTTTTGAAAATTGACATTGATCATAATGTATATAAACATACATAAACATAATTTCTAAATAAGATATCCTATTTTTTACTACATTTCTTAAGTTGTTAAGTTCTTAAATGTACATTTGCCGCACACATATTTTTAACATTTCGAATAGACTATCGTAGTTTTGTTTGGCATTTTTTTCGTAGCTTTAAATCTGAAATTATTATATATTTGGTGTCCATGATCAGAAAAAAAGCAGTTTTTAGATTCATCCTATTAGAAACACTTTTCGTGTGTGTTATTTATTTTTCTAGTAATGTTTATTCTTATTTCCTTGACATTATTGGAATATATTTATTTCTTCAAAATAATGCTTATATCGAATATACAAATTATTCAAAGGTTTCAATCAAACTGCCTAAAAAATATTATCAGGGCACTTTGATTCATAAAGAATACAGAAGCTATATGTTGCTGTATGGTTGAGGATACAATATATGGTTCTGGCTATTGGCCTGCTTGATAACAGCAAAACTAATTTGTTGTTTTAAGCCATTAGATTTTCTATATAGATTTAAGAAAAATATTATCAATACTCATAATCATAATAATGGTAAATATCCGCGCTCAAACATTATTATTCTTCACACTAATTTAAAAAGAAAAGTTTTCAATATCTTTAAACAACTTATTCTTCTTCTAGTTACTAGAAGTGTCTGTCAAAGTGTGTGCCGATAAAGATGTAAAAATACAGGTAAAAACATTTGAGAGTTATACCAAAGTACGATTAGAAAACTCTCTGTATTTAATTTTTTTAATTTATTTATTTGGCGTGCCGCGAAACTAAATCTCCTTTCCCAGGTATATAAGTTTGACAGACGCTGTTGTAGTACAACTGATGGTAATATTTTGCTTAATTTCTTAATGACTTCTTTTAAAGAAATATTTATATTATCAGATAATTGCTGACTTTGTTATATCGAAGCTTCGTAATAGTAGTTAACGTAAGTATGGGAAGGCAAAAAAACAACAAAAATATATCAATTCCACGGTCAGAAGGAAATACGCTACATTTTGGGTGACAGTCATCGTTTACGGCAGGACTTGAACCGGGGTAAATTATCCCAAATGGGGGTAATGAGGCGGTTCAGCAATTAAAAATATTGTTTTTTTTATTAAATGTACATGAGATGTCAAAACAAATCTAACATCAACAAAATATTACAATTCAATTATGGATATTTCTATATGTGACCCGAGTTCAGCGTTTTTTTTCAAATTTTGATACACCGACAACAAAAGATACTTATTTCTTCCAGTCGGACTCAAAATCAAAGTAGTTTCAACATCTTCAAGGGTGAGATACAAGGATATGCATCTGGACACGAGGCGTGCTTGGATGGTGTACAAAATAATAATTAAACTCTTATGTAATTATAATGTATAATTTCTTGGAAAAAATATTTTAGAAGGCATTTAGTACACAAATAGGAATATTTATTTAGTTTATTCTATTACAAACGAAATATTTTAAAAATAAAAGTAAAAACACATTTTGACAGAGTAACACAAAAATACAAAAAAAAATATAATGTTTGTTAATCGTCTTCCAAATTATGTTCATTATTATTGTCATTTAAACAATTTTGACACACCGCTTTCACGTGTTGTTTACAAACATAGGGACGCGCGCGATGGGTAAAATTTACCCTGGCGTACTCTATACTACAGCTGACAAGTAGTGACTGCTCTAAGTACCATTTAGAAGGTACTGAAGGGCGGCAGCACGTAACTTTAAAAACAAGTCGGTTAGAACAATTAACTCGCGCGCGTCCACAAGGGTTAATGCGCCTTTGACTAAATGGACTGCAATTTTATTTTCTCTATGATTTTGAATTTATTTTGGAGCAATGGATAGAGAAGTTCACTGACCTAAAATCTATTAGGTGAATAGTATTAGTATAGTATTGCAATGATTAAATTATGTTTACTAAATAGAACAAGACGACATATATGTTGAAATGTAATTGTATAACTGGCAAATCGATATGTATATTACATGCTACCATCTACACATTATGAATACACACAAGAATTTTCTGCCTACGACCGACGACCACAAATGTGAGCGCGAGTAGGCAGTATAAAATTTATTGCCCGTTTTAGAACGTACCTTTGATGGTCTCCCCACACAGTGGAGCTTCATTGTTCATATTCTATTTTGCCAATTTACGTTCAATGGCAAACCGAACTATAAAATAAATTAATAATTTACTGTCAACCGATGCTACTGCAAACCATTCAACATCTAGCATCCATTTACATAGTTAATTTCACGAACGCCGCAAACGTTGAGAAAACCAATCAGAACTGCAATTATAAAGATGGCAAGTCTAATATAATAAGTGTGAATTTCTAATTTAAGTTCACCCACTGCTTGAACTCAACTAAATTCGAATCTCTCTCGAATCAATGTAATACGAATCTTTTTGTATTTCCTATTTAATTTTTAAACAAAATAATTTATATAGATAATCTTATAATAATTATGTAATTTCCCACAATTCTTTTAAGAATATATTCTAAAATTACTCGAATTATTAGTCATTTATGATACATCCATGAAAGGGTATGTCCATTATCATCCAATTGTATACCGTAATTATTTCTCGGATATGATCATATCGCTAATCTCATATGGTATGTTTCAGAACTGGCCGTGGTCCAAGAAATGCATCTTCTTGAACTAGGATAGTTTAGACCACGAGTCGGCCATCCAGGATATTGCCTGTTAAAATAGTTTAAGAGTTGCACGTTATTTTCACTGGTAAAAAATGATGTTTTTCAACAATGCCACTATCATGAGAGCTTGTAAGTTGGTTTATCAATCGACCAATTTTATTTATTATAATATACAAAATATTTTTAAACACGGTTATTATAACTTTCAGTTGGGTTATAGAGGACAGTCTTATAACTTCAAGTAAGAGTACCAAATTGTAATAATTCTACAGTATTTCTATTAATATTTTCAAGAAATAAATGTATTACAATTATGTTAAGACAGTCACAAAATTATTAGAAAATTAAATAACATCGACCAAACGTGTTCCTAATGAAATGAATAGATATTTTATGAAACAGATTTGCATTTAACCTGCAAATATCAGTTAGGATTGATTTGAATGCACAGTGAAGAAATCATCGGTCTTTGTATGAAACAAAAGAAGGTTTTTAACCCGGAAAAGTACCAGTCATATTTTTGGTAAGTAACAGATTCTACAGATCATGCATGCTCAGCTATTGTACATATAATAAAAATAAATGAAACCTGACCCAACCCAAATCGTTTAGTGGGCCAAAAAAAAATATGACTGAGCTTAGGTGGCTCACACATATAAAAAAATGACATGAAGATGTTATTCAAAATATTTTATTACCTTATAGTTAATGTGACACTTATTTTTGTATACTGTTTGATATATTTTTCATATCAACATAGCTGTTGATTGGTCATGTTTTCATAGAGCAAACTGCTGCGGCACTTTGTTTTTACTACATTTAATTTTGTGCTGTAATGCACATTACCAGTCAAATTTATCTTTCAGGAAACATTTCTGATAAAAAATCAAGCTTATTCTCTTTGAACATGTACTTCAACTATATGTTTATTTGCAATTTGTAAATTTTGCATATAACATCTCACTCAATAACTTCGTAGGATATAGAAGGTGCGTCTATCGACAAATCCATATGTTTTTTAGGAAGTACCAACTTTCAGACGACGTCTGTCATAGCAATTTTAATTCAGAAGTTACACAGAATGAATTATTAGACCGTAATTGAAAAAGTTTTGTTACGAAGGATTTTATATAATGATAACATTCTGCAATCAGCTTATTTTCACTTTTTAGGTTCTGATAAAATTAATTTAATTTGATTGTTATATCTGTTAGAAAACATATATCTAGAATATATTCTCTTAAGTTCCAAAATCTTAATAAACAATTTCCACGACTTAGTCATCGAATTTTGGTAATACAAAAAAAATCGCCGTATTCAGATTCGAGTTCGCTAAGAATAAAAATAGGTGCTAGCACTCTTCACAGCAATAAAGTTCTAATTTCACAAAATATAATATAAATGTGGTAAATTTTCGAGAATCCTTTTTTTTTATTGTATATACCAATATTCAATTTTTTAAATAATAATTCCTGGATTTAAAACGTAATTCGTTATATTTATAGTTAACAAAAAATTCGGGTAGCGAACATCATCCACAAATTGATTATGTAACATAACTGTACGGTAAGTAAAAAAAAATTGTTAATTCGTGGTAAAATGTCTTTTCGAAATAAATATGAAATTTGATATCATATTAAACAACATTATCAATAATAAAATTATTGATAGATCTTGACTTAGGCCTAATAATAAATAACTAACTTAAGTGGTTATGTCATATATGTTCGTCATGGTGTCTTGTAGTGCGTAGTGCTTATGACGAATATATTCGCATCATTAATTTACTTGGTTCTTAAATATTATATCGTATTTATACACGTAATCGTTCCTAGTAATGGAGAAGGAATAAGCGCATTGCAATTTTCAATCAATGTAATTAGGTAATAGCATTATTAACTTACTTACATAATATTCAAGTAAATTTACAAAAATAAGTTGAGTTCTATTAATAGTTACAAGTGACCTAATACATTTTCTTTTAAGCGTTATTCAGACCGCGAAACATAATTCATAAAAGCATTCATCCATCCGAAGTCGCTGTACGTAATTATATATAGAATTAATAAGAAAATATAATAAATAGGTAACATGTTAAGAACAAAATTTCTGCAGGTATACATTTAAATATTTGTAAAACAAATATATATTTATTAAGAGTATGCATATTGGAGGTTTATAAACGGTAACATTACCATATTCACTTAGAAGAAATGTTTTTAACCTAAATGCGTGTATTTTATATATATATTTATCAAAAAATAAGAAATATCTTCTAATTTATACATTTATAAAATAATAAATAATAATAAAGTTTATTATTACAACATTCATAAAATTAGGTAAATATTTGTTTATAGTTAGTATAACTCAAGGGGTCGAAAATATATACACATTTCCTGGTAAATGTGTAGATTTGCTTATAACTGAAGTATATCATATTGTCTCCTGTTAACACTTCAGGAAATGTTGCTATCGAAATGTTACACAGTGTGTCAGCATGAATTTGTATTTTTTGTGCCGCCCTGTTAACAATATTTATCTTTTTGCAAACTCAAAGACTCAATAAGTCTCCTATCTAAGACAATTTTATTTTTTGAAATTCGACTTTATTCATCAACATTCTCTTCTTCAATAGTGATACATTCATTCCAAGGCACCTTTAACTTTTCGATGCCTTTTTTTGTCTTTGCTCTCAAAATAGACCAATGCAACTTACGCTTGCTCAAATTTTCGCGTAAAACTATAAAAGCATTACCTTTTGATATCTGACACCTTAGCTATCTCACGCAAATTCACTTTACGGTTTATCAAAACTATTTTATGGACATTTTTATGTTTTCCGTAACAACTGACGATTTAATCGCGTTTAAATTTAGCATACCAGTCAATAGTAGTTGATTTCCCTGGTGCAATCTCTATAACATCAAGCTACAACAGTATCTTTCCATCAAAAACAATTTTTAGTCACAAATTGTTTTTTATCCATTTTTTTTAAAATTACAAAACTGAGTTCACTAAAACCATTGTAACCTGTAAACTAATTGTCAGTATGACATGAAATTTTGTACGTTTCGTTTGAACGATGGTACTATTCAGAAATCATATGGTATGTCAACTGTGTTACCATATATATGTTAGACCGGAGACGTTTTGAGTGATGTGTTAATTACAATGTTAGGGTAATTTTATTCACAATCTGTTCATCAATGTGAAAATTGAGTAAATTTAAGTTCGCGATTGACAGAAAAATGGATAATCTTTCCCGGTGGATAGTTTCCATTATGCTGATTTGATTTTAATTTGTTGGTTGGCTCTTGTCTTGTAGGTTAACTTCAGTAGTATATTGATGGTCTGCGACTCCACTATTTCAATCTGAATCTGCTGCTATTCTTAACACTGTCATTGTCCATCGACTTGGCTGAAGGTCCTAATGCTGAACCTTATTCATTTCACTGTCCATCTGTGATGAACGATGGCCCTATTGCTGCAAGCACCGAGAGGGCTCACAAAGGGCCTGGATTGACCAGGCTGTGAACCTGCACCCACTAGCTGGTGGGCAGGGCGACTTAACCATTCGGCTATTACTCGCCCTTATGTTAAAATATAGCTATAGGAAAGGTCAATGATCAAAAATTATCAGTATAGAAAAATGCTATGCATAATCATTTAATTAATTATTTAAAAAAAATATATGTTATGAAGATTTTTTTGTATAAAAACGTTTCTTTTATTACATAATTTGCTTCGGTTATTTTATTTTGATTGAAGATACAATAGCGGGATTCGATGATAATGGTGAATAGATTTTCGTGTTCGCCAAAGCAGAAACTCATTAGTTTCATTTCGACTTGAATACATTAATTCTAGACTAAATTTTCATTGTGTATTCTTTGAAATAAACTAAAACTTTGGTTCAATTCTGATATTTCTAAACTGTATTATGTAAGAATTAAATAATTTTCTGTAAAATGTTTTTGTATATATGTTTCTATTAACTTAAATTTTAAATGTATTTCAGTATATTGTTTTTATAATTATCAATACCTCAACCTAATTATATGTTTTTAGTAAAAAAAAACCATAAAAATATAAAAATTCCATTTTTAAAATTCACTAAATCATTTTGATTGAGATAATCTATGTACATGAAATTAACGAATTTTAAATTATTGTAATTTTACATGTATGTTTGTATAGTTTTTTTATTTTATTATCAATATAATATAAAAATATTATTATGTAGAGTAATTTATTGATTTCGGATAAAATTTAATTAGATTTAAATATATTTCTTTATATTGCTTTTCTAATTGTCAATAAATAAACTTAATTATGAGTTTTGGCCAAAAAAGAATATACAAGTATGAAGATTCCATTTTTAAATTTTTTTTACTTGAGAAAATGTATTAGCTTCTTTTAGTTTTAACCCTTTGTGGTCCGGTGCTACTTATATCAATCACTATATATTATAAAGAGATACGAAACAGACCAAAATACGTGTTAAAGTAATCTTTATGCTGTATACGAAATGATTTGTTTTGCAGTTTGGCAAGACTAAGTTAGCATAAACCTTTAATCAAGTAAAACTTGTTTCTAAATAAATAATATATAAAAATTGCACTTGTTTTTGTATTTTTTTATATATTTCCAATATAATTATTAAGAAAATGAAATTATGTGTTTTAGGCATTTTTTTTTAAATAAATATTCTATTTTTAAATTATTATTTAGTTTTATTCAGGAAATTAATGATTTCGGATTAAATTAATTTAGTTTTAAAAATATTTCATTATATTTCTTTCCTAATTATCAGGAACTAAACTTAATGATGAGTTTTACCTAGAAAATGAAATCATAAAAATATAAAAAATTCTATCTTAATAATTATCGAAAAAATTGATTGAGTGAATTTATGTTCAGGAAATCGACGATTTCAGATTAAATTCATTTTAGTCGAAAGGTGATACGCATTCTTCTGGAACTCTGGAAATAAGGTCAAAATGTC